CCCCCCCCCCCCCCCCCAGACAGTGAGCTCCTGCGCTGGCCTTGTATCTAGATTACAGATATAATCCAGTAGAATGGCGGAGAAGGAGAGCAAGGGAAACACAGCATTCCTGAGCACGAGAAACCTCACAGAGAGACGCCTGATTATTAAGTCCTGCAGTCTAACGATCAGTTCAACACAGATTATACAGAAGGATGTCCTGGGCCAGTTTCCAGGGCTATAACAAAACACCTGATAGCAGGTAAACTTCAAATCAGAAGTGTATTTGGGTTGTGGTTCTGGAGGCTCTGAGAGCACAAGGCAGCGTACGCGCAGCTTCTGCCGGGGACGTGGTGAGGCAAGTGAAAACACAGTTGGGTGGTCTCTCTTCCCCTTCGTAGAAATCACTAATGCCAAGGGGACTCCAACTTTCATGACCCCGTGAACACTAACTACCTCCCGAAAGCCTCAAAGTTTTAGCTGAATAATCTGAGGATTGACCGTCCAACACAGGAGCCCCCCCAAGATCAACACATGAAGAACCCCTCAAGCTGTAGAAAACAGCTGTGCAGTTCCCCTGAGTATCTAGGAATATCTAGCTATTTTCTCCCAAACGAGTGAGTGTTCACATGAGTAAATGTTCCTCCAGTATCCTTCCTGGATAGTCCTGGGACACACAGAGTCCCAGAGGCAACACCGTGAGCATTCTCATCGTTACTTGTTAGGAACACAAGTCTCTGCGCAGGTTGGGATGGAAAGACCACCGTACTCTTTCTTATTAACACACTAAGTCAGAATGCTAGGATCACTGAAGGAAAACACGAAAAGTCATAAACAGTAACATCCTTCGAATCGCACTTAGCTGTCAATCAAAGGAGGTCTACAAGTGCACAACGCAGAAAATGCCCCGTATCTTTTCTGCCATACCTAGTCCCCGAAAGGTCAGAGCCACAAGAAGCAGCCTTTCTTGGGGAGAGGGGTTATAACATCAAAATGTGGAGTACTTACGCATCTTTAACTGCTCCCGTTGGACCTAGGGGAGAAAAGAAAAAGATTTGCATCGGTGTGACAGTATTTCTACAGATTAAGTCCAATACCTAGTTTTGTGTTTTCCATATGCGGTGTGTGTATATGTGTGTGTGGGGGGTGTGCTCACTGCGGGTGTACACATACATGTATGACTGACTATGCTTGTATGTGTACACATATGTGTGTATATGCATGTGTGTATGTGTGCATTTGGGGGGGAAGAAAGGGGAAGAGACTGACAGACAGACAGACAAGCAGGGAGAGACACTCTGGAATTTAAAATCCTTTAAACCACCACCCTAAAATTAAAAAAAAAATAAGATAATAAAAACAACCAGGGACAAGACATTTTGATCGTATAAATAAATAATAAACAATCAATGCCTCAGAAATGAGTGATCCCAGAGTTAAAACAAGTGGAGGATCTAGAAGAAAGACTAGAAAGAAATAATAACCATCTTAGTTTTATTCATGGGAAGGGAGAGAGAGTGGTTTCCTGTTCCTCGTGAGGTGGGGGAGGTGTGAGAAACTGGGATTCTCAGAGTCTTACAAAGAAAACACATCCTGAGTCCACGATCACTAGAGAAACCTGGGACAATCACGCAGGGGCCAAGCATCAGAAGTCACTGCGGCATCTCAGGGATGATGCCGGGCAGGCTCAGCACAGAACAGTCCCAAGTGGTGTCCTTGTCCCCTCTCCAGTGCCTGTCTAATAGCCGCTAAATCATTATGCTGCAGTGTCTAGTGACTGGGGCACCCTGGACAGACAGGGCAGCTTATGTGTGGACCAACCACCACATGCTATCAGCACTGACTTCAATCAGCCACCAAGAACTCTTCATCCATCCACTTCACCTTGATGGCACCAGGTCCCGGGTACCATTAGAGCGTCTCCCTGCTGGGCTCCCTGCTGGTGAACTCACAGCAGGCTCAGTGGGAATGAGAGGTGTCACCTTCCAAAAGGAGGTCCACATCCCGGGAAAAGGCAGATTGTAAAGTGCACCTCATTTTCAGAAGGGGGAGGAATGGAGCCAAGTAGCAACCAGGGTATGAGAATGTGGCTCCGACACATGCTTCTTTTCAGAGGTTTGGTTGGGTTTTTGTTTTGTTTTGTTTTGTTTTGTTTTGTTTAAGATAATTGTATAATTGTTTGGAAACCTGTGAGAAAATTACCAGAGTACAAAGGTACGTGTAATGTGACTTTTAAACCCGTTTTACCCGGAAAAGCAGCAGGTCACAAAATGATGTCTTATATTATTAATATTTGAACTTTTTCAAATGTTAGAAATAAGGGCCACAGCTATGAGCACCAAATACTAAACACCGGAAGTCGGGTTGTTCCTGTCTTATGACGCAGCAAGATGACATAAGCAGGCTGGCGAAGTACTTGAGGCGCCTTCTCAAGCTCCAAGTCTCAACCCTTGTGGGGGGGGGTGTGAAAGACCCTTTGAGAGGGGTAGCCTAGGACCCCCCTGCCTGTCAGATGTTTGCAATGAGAGTCACAGCAGTGGCAAAATTACAGGTGAGAAATAGCAATGGGAATTATGTTGTGGTGGGGGTCACCACAACATGGGGAACTATTGAGAAAGTTGAGAACAGCTGGCTCAGAGAAGTCTCTCCTTACGTCAGATCTCTTCACACTTAAGATATTAACCACAAGCTATTTCTGAGAAACTGAGTCATATAAGAAACTGTCCCAGTCTATCTGTGGACTGTGCTCATGAGTTAAAAGTTTTATTTTGATAATAAAAGGAACTTAAATTCAGAAATTGTTACTTTTAAGGCTCAATCTGACCAGATAAGCTAACTGCTAATCTTATGTTTGTTGTAAACTGTTAAAGATAATTAAGACATGCAAGTTAATAGTCACCTTATAAATGATCAGTTTCTTTAGTGTGTTCAGAACTATACTTATAGTCATGCTACACACTAATGTAATTAACTACAGATAAAATCTTTATTTAGCTTCTTGCATGTGTTTTCAGGGTGAAGCCTAAAGCAAGTAACTAAAAACAAGCAAGGTTTGCTTAGCTCACATATACTTAATAGATAATGGTCCTCAAACTTCCCAGAGATCTGCCGAATATGGTATTTAAAATGTTTAACTGAAAAGCTTACTTACTATGACAAAGACCCGCAGCTCCTAGCAGTGGCCCCAGGGTCTCCAAAGAAGATGCTGCAGCACCATGGAGACTCCATCTGGATTGTGGTAAAGCTAACCACAGGGCAAGACTGCCCTATTGCCACACCTGCCGCAGAACCTGGCCCAAACTCTGGACAAGCAGGACACTGAGAGCTGGTTGCCCCACTTTCCTAAACAAAGGAAGGTCAGTCTCTCTCATGTTCCTCCCTGGGGGGGGGGGGACCTCTCACCTTCTGGGCCTGGCAGGTGAAACCCGATGTTGCCCTGGAACTTCTGCCCCCAACTCCACCAACTCCATGGAGATCACAGAAGCCTGGGATGGCAGTCTAATAATGGGCTAGTCTCAGCCATTTTAATTGATACATTTGGATTGTACTTCCTGCTACAAGTTATCCTTCTTAGATCATGGTATTGATGACTAGGCTAACTATAGCTTTGTCGGCTTAACAGGAGTAGTAAAACCAGGGTCTTCCCCAAGGCTGCAGCCACCCTGTGAGCTCATTTCATATGTAACAATCAAGCCTTGATTTTTCTAGAGCTACTAGGTATCCTGTTGAGAAAAAGCAAATGGGTTTGTCTTGCTAAAAGGCTTCACATTAAAAGACAGACAGGTCATGAAAGGAATATGACTGCTCTCAGGAATAACTACTTGCATCTCCAGTGAATGATTAGATGATAAGAAATAGGGATAAAATCTATGTAAGATCTAAAAAATGTTTTAAGCTGAATGACGGTCTGAGGGTGTGAAAGCTTACATTCTGGAGGTCTCAGAAAATGATTTAAGATATAAGAAATGTAAGTTGTAAAGGTATAAGTAAGTGATTAAAGATATAAGAAAATGGGCAACGTTTCAGATGTCTTTCCCCTTTCTATGCTATTGTTACACTAAGATTTCAAAAGTTCAGAGTTTTGGCGTTGAGCAATGGAGTTCTGATAGGCTGGTAGAGCAGTGACAAGATTTTAAATTGTCTTTGGTTGTCTTCTAAGTGTACACTTAAGGTGCGTCTCACTGGGCTAAAGACATTGCTGTCCAATCTATATCTACATCTCCAGACAGATGAAAAGAATGTTCATGCTTTTTAACCCAAATCTACAGCTTTTGCTAGGACTCAAAGGTGAGAGTCTGCTCTAGCTTTTTTGCAGACACCTGTCCTCTGCTTTTTCTATAAGGTAGATTTCAGCACAGACTGGTAATGCTAATATCCCTAAAACTTATGGGTGTTTTTTTTTTAATTAAAAACTCCTGTAAGCCTCAGAGAATCTAGAGAATCATAAGACTTGGATCTTACCTATCACAAGTCAAAAGAACTCCAGATAAGAACAGCCTAAGTTTCCCCATCTGTCTATTCCTGAGGATGGGGTCCCTCTCTCCTGGTCTTCGGACTCCACCCTTCCCCAACTAGCAGGTCAATGGACCTGAAAGCTCCAAATGTAATATTTTCCTTTATGTCCCTAAACTTTAACTCCTGCCCCTGGCCTTTATCTGTCTCAGCAGATTTCCATTTGGCTGACAGACACCATCCAGGAATCAGCTGCTAATGCCCCTTTGCCTGAACTCCTTCCTTGCCTTTGACTAGCATTCCAGTCTTTCTGGGCTCTGACAAGATCCTAGCTTCAGCAGGAAGTAGTTACAGAAGAGAGACCATCACCCCTTATCCTACAACAGGCTGGGATGTTAGGTCAAAAGGATACTTCCTGGCATGGGGAAAAAATAGTTATCTATAATGTCCATTGGCATACCAGGAAAGGTACTTGTTAAAATCGACAAGGCCCAGATCTACCAACAGGTAGATCCATTAGCTGATCTAGTCTACAATATGATAGGTCACGTGATCTGCTGTATGTAAAATAAAGAGGTTATTGTACAGCTTTAGGAGAAAATTGTTTCTATGTAAACCACTTGTGAATCATTAGAAATAGTCTTGCTGGGCTTAAAAAAAAAATCATTGCAAGAAAGGGGACCTGAGAGGAAGTAAGTAACTGGTCCCCATTCTCATTTCCAGGTCCCTCTGGCCCTTCTGCTTCTGCTGACTGCTGTTGGCTCTTGTATCATTGATGCCTTAACTAAATGCTAATTCCTGTCTGGGTACCATTAAGCTGAGGGTTATTAGATCCCAATAAAAACAGGTACCATCACAGAGTCAAGGATTTGACTTAGGATACAACTCGAGGTGGGGGAAGGAATGGGAGAGCCAAAGTTACGTTTTAAGTTTTAATTCCTACACCTTAGAGATCTATGGAACAAAAATGAATGCTTCTGATCTGCAAGCCGCTTGCCAAGGACCGATAGTTTCTGAAATGCTGGAGACTACTGTTTATGAGAGATAACAAGCCACACAAGTTTCCACTCCCTAAACAAGTTTCTTTAAGCCATCTTTACTACATGAGCTTGATCACAGGTGGGTGGGAGGTTCCTGGGCAGGAAATACATCAGGATGTATGCTCGCCCCTGATTGGACCTGGGCAGGAAATATGTCAGGATATATGCTCGCCCCTGATTGGACCTGAGGGAAATACTTTAAGACCCTGTAAACCATGACTCAGGGCCATTTCCTGGGAACCCAGGTGTGGACCTGACCGGAGCCCATCTACCTGGCCAGTATTTAATTAAAGCTTGCTTCAAAATTGGCTTTAAACTGTGGTAGTTGTTTTATTCTTGATTGGGGGGATTAACACCAGCATCACTAAATTAATTAGTTAATTAATTACTTCACTTTGAGGAAGAAACTCGTGGGAAAATTCATATTCGGAGGGATTACATTCACTGTGACATGTCTCCCATTCTAGGGATGCAAGCAAAATGTTGTTCCTGGAGAACCATCGGTCCAGCTTGGATGCAAGGCACCACGTTAGTCTGGTAG